ACATATACCATCATTAAGAAATACACATAACATCATATGGTTCATGTAACACATTTCAAACCACTTACCTTTGATAACCATTTATAAACCCATCGTATACATATCACATTCAGTATGTTTGTTTAATCTCTTTATTAGCCCATGTACACTAGTGATAACTTAAGGTATGTGAGTACATTGAGGTTGTGCACACATATGTTGTCACCACAGCTCGATCAATGTCCCGAAGGACCTATCCAGAGGTCACAAAGACCCCGGTAACTGTCCAGAGGTCATAAAGATCCTCGGTAACTGTCCAGAGGTCATAAAGATCCTCGGTAACTGTCCAGAGGTCATAAAGATCCTCGGTAACTGTCCAGAGGTCATAAAGATCCTCGGTAACTGTCCAGAGGTCATAAAGATCCTCGGTAACTGTCCAGAGGTCATAAAGATCCTCGGTAACTGTCCATAGGTCCCGAAGAACCTAGGTAAACTGTTCATATGTCTCGAAAGACATAGGTAAACCCTCGACTCTTGGCATGCCAACTATACCCCTAGCTCTCATATCACATAACATGGGCATTATCATTTATAACATTTCATATCACTTGTTATTTCTCTTCTATCACATACCACATGTATGTGTAACCATGTATTTCATATCATATATCTTATAATAGATTCTTATATCATCGTTTGTTTCCTTCTTACATATTCACAATCACACTAACATGTAATGCAAGCAAGATGTATTAATACATACATGTAATCACATAACTTATATCATATCATTTCTCTTATAAACACATTTCTCTTCTTTTCTGTCACGTATCACATATACGTGTAATCATTGATCTTATAATCCCATGTTCATTCTCTTCTGTCACATACCCTATGTATGTGTAAACATATATCTTATAAACATATATTTATGAATCTCATATCGTATCACATATTCACATAAACATATAATCCACTTTCACATATCACTTAACATATTTTCTAATATGATCACATAACTCATATTATCTATCTCATGTCATATTCTCATGTATTTACTTAATTCAGTTTCACATAGCTTGTCACATAGGCATGTATTCTCATATATTATAATTTCATATAGTTCAATATCACATATCACATATACATGTAATCATGTACTCATACACACATAAGCATCATATCATTCACAAATCAAATAACATTTTATGAGTCACTTCTTACCATAAGAACTCCAATACTGGCTCATCGCAAGCCAATGTTCGTTCAATAACATAAGTACAATTAAAATTGCACTCACCTTAGCTTTGCTTTGATTCGATTCTAATCCTTCAATTGATTCAGAACGGGATCACGTTCTATATCTACATAATCATACATAGATCTATATTAGTATTATAACTAATATACTATAATGATTCACTCTTTAGATTAAGATAAATGTCAATTTCCTCTTTCAATGAAAGTATGCATCGGTGCACTACTGATGCATCGGTGCATAAAATACAGTCGATGTTGTATTATCACTGGGATGCATCGATGCATGCCTTATGCATCGATGCACTAATTGCATTCGATGCACTACTCAAATGCTTCATATTTCATCCCCTTTCATATTCCTAACTTTCATATACATGTTTAAACTCATTTATAATCAATTATCTCGTCTTTAACCTTAATACCCTCTCCTCTTTATTAACTTCAAGAATCATACCAGATTTTTAACATGTTTTAAATCTAATTCTAACACTCCATATTCCTTAATTAGATTGATGACAAGTCAAATTCCTTCTCAAAAATCACTTACTAACTCTTTTCCAGAATTTCCTTAAGAAACTCATTTTCTTTAATCTTTCATAACTTCTTTATCTTTTGATTTTAGGACAACTTAAGCTTTCCATAAGCTTAAGTATTACCTAATGATCAAAACCCACTCTTAAAATTAACAAATAATCAGCTAACAAAGAATCTTACCTTTGCAAGCTTGGCTCTTTCTTTCTCTCGTACATGAAGAAGAAGAAGAAGATGATAAAGAGAATATCTCTTCATCCTTATCCCCTCTAACACATATATCCTTATCATATTTATTTTTAATTCATTTATTAGTTAAATGACCATTTTGTCCTCTACTTCATTTGATAATTACTAATAACTTTTAGGATTTATTTCCAGATAAATCATTGAACTAATCCATTCTTCTACTTTAATCACCAAATTCTGAAACTTTACCATTTAGTCACTAACCCATAGTTTGGGATGTTACAATAAGACTATTCGAACAATCATCCCCAATATCCGTTTTCGGTCATCGATGACCGTCATCACCGATACCAGTAGGAGTGCCACCCCATTCTGACCAAAACCCTACTAGTAACTTGTTGAGAGTTACCTCCATTCGCTGTGGAGAGAGCCCCGAATCTCGTTGGAAAACCCGACACCCTTCATTTTTTCATCGATTTTTGACTGATTGGGTCGTTTGTTTTCGCCACACACGCCATCACTATTGGAGTTCTTACACAGTTTCGACCAAAACCTAATCGGTCGTGCCTCATTGTCATCGTCCCTCCTTTTTCCGTAGTTGGTTAAAAATAAAAAATAGACATTGTGGTCTTATTGTGATTTAGGAAGAAACAATGAGTATGAATCGAGGGTTGGGGTATGGTCGGGAGGTGACGTCGATGACGATGGTGTGAGCCACTGTTGACTGAAGGTAGAGTGAACAAGAATGAGAGAAAAAGAAGAAGAAGAAAAAGGAAGAGGCTTAACGGGAGTTAAGTGTCACGTCAACAAAAACTAAGGGAAGTAATGACAGGGACTCTACTAAAAAAACTAAAAGTTCGATGACTGTATTACAAGTTTCAAAAAATAAGTGACCAAAATACAAACACCCTAAAAGTTTGGGGACTATTTGTATACTTCACCCTAAAAAATGACCTAATCAAAGTAAAAGAAAAAACCAACAATTTTTTGTCTCTGTCTGTCCATTTCTACGCTACTTTTCAAAGTTTTCTCCTTTCACCTTTTCTTTTTCCTTTTATTTTATTTTTCTATTCTTTTGCTTTGGTGAGCACCGAGCAACAACTTGACTTCCTTTCCTCCAAACAACATGTAAGAGAAATCAAGATTGACTTGTTATGAAACGAGTAAAAATTAAAAGATGACCAAAATCATGATAACGGAATTGGAAGGCCATCAAGAGAATAAAACCCAGAAAGATATCGTGAATGTACATGTGAACAATGGTGGAGTGATGTATGTCAAAGTGATGACCGATGAGCAGTTGGAGACTCTGAGGAACCAAATTGCTGTTTATGCCTCAATTTGTGAGCAGCTCGTTGAGATGCATAAGAGCCTCACCGCCCAGCAAGATCTTACAGGCATCTCTCTCTCTCTCTATTTCTCTCCTTATACATGCTTTCATGGTGTCTTTCATTTATGGCTTCTCTCATTTCTTATCATGCTCTTTTTCTCTTCCTTTTTGTCATTATCTAAAAGGGTCTTATTTTTTTACCAACATGGGTCTTGTTACTGATTTGAATGAGTCACAAATACCCATTTAATGCTTTGTTTGTGAAGAACTATTATTGTTCAGATATTATAGGCCAAACCCAAACTTTTTTTTTTTGGAACTTTGTGTATTATATTTTTAGCTGGATTCTTTGTTTGTGTTGTATGTGACTGAAACAAGATACTTGATTGTGTTGTTAAATTCAGATACTTGATATTGTTTACAGGTGGTAGGCTGGGGAACCTCTATTGTGACCATTTGATGCCATTTGCAGGGCACAAAATTACTGCCAGGCAGCGGTGGACGCCGACCGCTGTGCAGCTTCAGATTCTGGAACGTATCTTTGATCAGGGGACTGGAACTCCAAGCAAGCAAAAGATCAAAGAGATAGCCTCGGAACTGAGCCTGCATGGCCAAATTTCTGAAACAAATGTCTATAACTGGTTCCAAAATAGACGGGCTCGGTCTAAGAGGAAGCAACTGGGGTCATCATCCAACAATGCTGAATCAGAACAGGAGAGTCGAGTCGCCGAATGAAAGGAAGGCAACTAAGACCGAGAATCTTCTCTCTCAGCGGAACCCTGCACTTAGAGCTCAAGATCTGTGCTTCCAAAGATATCCTCTGAATTGCATTTCTTGAGTGTGATGTCCAATCCAAATGCATACAACGGTAAGCATTTTCTTTTCAGGAAGGTGTGTTAGAATCGATTTTCGGAAAATCTAAACGATCACATGCCTATTTAATCTACGCAGGAGATGAACATATCTCTGGAAAAATGGGAATTCCGGAGACTTAAGACATTTACGACCAGGCGGAAGATTACTGCATGGCGGGTTGAGACATTAGAGGCCGGTTGTGCAAACATGCCATCCAAGACTCTGGTTGTTGGGCCTGTGGGGATGAAAGAATTTGGTTTAATCATGGAAAAATTGCATGATTAGCATAGCAGTGAAGCTAATTACTTATAGTTTGAACATGAAATGAGGCACGTTGAGTTGGAAATAGATTTACTAGTATGATTGTGCCATTGTGGTTTGGCTTTGTTTTCTTGGTTGTTTCGTTAATAGAAGGAACCCCATGAATGTTTTGGCGAGTTCTTCGTTGAAATTATGATCGTGCTTGATTTTGTTGGAGTTGATGATTGTTTGGTCTGAGTTTGGTAGTTAAAGTATGGACATTTTAACATATGTTGGATGGATAATGTATGGTCTTAATCTGAAATTAATGTACCATTTTTTTTATTAGTCTGAGTTAATTATAAGATAATATTTATTTTAAATTCTTTCTATTAATTGACAATAAACACATAAATTCTACTAACGATGTTTAAATTTACCATTTCTTAAGTATTACAATATTAATTTTATTAGTTAAATTAAGATTTATTCGATTATATAAATTAATGTTTAACTTATAGAATTTCTGAAAATTTTAAATGAAAAATAGAGACGTAAATCCAACAATCTTGTACTCTAATTACATCAAGCTTATATATTTCCCATTCCTTTTTCACATTCATCTCCCATCTTTGGCTTGGGAACCATTTTTATCCAGAACCTTGAAATACCATTTCTCCCTTTTTGGTATTTCAAATTCCCCCACACAAAAGCAAACCCTAATTATAATCTTCTCAGCTCTATCTTTCTCAACAATCCTAAAACAAAACACTTTCTTTTCGGGATATACAAATGTAATCAGGTATTCGATCAAAATTCAATCATTTTTCGTTCCTAATTGTCATCCTTTTTCATTATTATTACATCCTGACCATCCCTTTACAATCTTCGAATTTACGTTGTTTGCCTTTGTGCCTTTGTTTTAATTGATCGGCCCTCCTCTTTTAATTTGGCCATTCGTTTTAATTGCAAGATCATCTAATCTAGTTTTCCATTGGTTTTACTAGTAGTTCTACAACAGAAACTGCATATAGGGTTTTCAGGCTTTCATTCTTTATGTCATTTACGACGAATGAATCATCTTTCAATGATCACCTGTATGCATTTATGCTATTTCCAAAGTGGGGGTTTTTGTATCCGAGATTCCCCTTTATTTGTTATTTTGCCTTTTCCTTTTGGGTTTTGTTTACCATTTAACACTGAATCTATGATTGTTGATGTTATAGAATCGATGTGAATTGGAGCGGTTGGATTCTCCTTGTAAAGAATTTACTCATTCTCTGGTGCTTTGGATTATAAAAAGCTGGATTTAATGGATACCAACGTTTGTGACATCAATCACTTGGATGCTGATGTCCTTTTGCCTCCTCGGAAGCGCCTGTTAGCTGGCTTTAAGAAACGAGCTTCGAATGCAAATGGTGCTTCAGATCAGCCAATAGCTGCTGCTTCAACTTCATCTCCTTCACCTCCTTCACCATCATCTGCTACTTCATCAAGTGATGTTGATGCTCATCTTAATAACTTATTGAGTTCACGTTTCAATAACCCTAACCTTTCTCCCGAGGAGATTTATGAGGCCTCTAGTGCAGCCGCTATTGCTGCTGCTAAGACTGCTGAAGCTGCCAGAGCTGCAGCAGAGGAGAAGGCTGCAATTGCAGCTAAAGCTATCGCCGCAGCTAAGAGTGCATTGGACATGGTAGCAACATTTTCTGAAGATGTTGGTGGTAAGGATAGATACCTCAAAAAGAATAAGTTCAAGAAGCATGTCCCAGTTCAAGTTTTATACAAAAAACACCAACCAATTGAGAATTCTAGGGTAGATGAAGATTTAGCCCAGAGGTTGCACCGAGCAATCAATAGTTCTCCAAGAATCTCAAACGATTCACCAATTTATGAATGTAAAGGTCATCAACAGAAAAGGTCCAAGAGCTTGCCAACTCTGGAGAACACGAAGGTTCCCAATGGGGGTACTGTGCTGAGAGGAAGCCCTTCTTCTACCTGCAATGGAGGTACGATGGCAGCCGAGATCAATTCTGATGACTTGGTTAAGGAGCACGTAAAGGTAGCCAATTATGAAAAATCAGGGGAGTCGGTGTTGGATAATGGTGAATCAGAATCAAAGGAAAAAGCTTGCGAAGATACGTATCCTACTGGTAAAAGGAGGGGAAGAGTAAAGCTAAAGAAGTTGCCCTTGAGCGTTTGTTCCTATAGGGATCGAGTGAATGCCAAGGAAGATATGATTACTAAGAACTCTCCGTTGATGGACAAGAACATGGGTAATCCGACTACTGTTGTTAAGCCTGTGTTTTTCTCTGGAACCATCTGCTGACGGTTTTATTTCTATTGAAGGTACACCTGTGTGGAAATGCCAGGATTTCAAGGCCCCTTCATGTATCGAACAAAACAAAGTCACCCAATTGTAATGCTCGGTTCTGTTCTGGTCGCAGGTGACTTCAATCTTAGACGATAGTTGAGGTAGGAGGATTCACTTCTCTTTTAATAGAGACGAATTTTACTCCACTTTATCTTTTTTCGCTCATATCTGGTTCTGTAAGGAAGATGGATTTGACAGTGTACATTTGAATGTTTCAATTGCTTGCCTCTAAACTAGAACAACACCAATAATTGAATTCGAGATAAAGAGGAATGCAGTGCAATAAATATTAGGTAGTTCTTTCCCTGTTCAACTCTTTCATATTCATCCTTTTGGGATGATCCATAGATGTACTAAAACCTTAATGCCTTTGGTAATGCTTTTTCAGCAATTGAATTATATTATTTTGTTCTCCTTTTCATTTATTTTCTTAAAAAATAAATAATATGAAAAAGTAATTTTTAAAAAAAAAATAAAAAAAAATTAATAGTGATTATTGAATTTAGTTAATTCATCTATGCAAGTGAATTCTATTTTTCTATATATACATGTATATCAGTTTTGTTTTTTTCTAACAACATAAGAAAGGAAACACATTAATTTGAAGCTTGAAGGTTGATGCTTGAAATGGAAGGAGGCTCCGATTCATCGGCTGGAAAGTGACTATCCAAAGCCAGAATTGCTCCGGCAGTCGGTTATATAATATTTGCTTACAACTTAATCCAACGGAATTACTCGGGCAGCCAGTGATATAGATGGTAATTACTTTTTAAAAGGAAACCGGTAAATGGTAATTAGTTTGTTTTGTTGGTCAAGTATCTCAGATATCTTCAAAAGTAATTAAAAAAGTTTTTTTTTTCAGCATCAAATAATTTATATTTTAAAATTAAATTAATGTCTGATAACACAAAACATAATATGTAACATTATACTTATGCAGTATGATATTATTTTCAGTGGTGAAGGTAGAAGAATAGATTAATCCTTTTCTATGAATTAACTTAGGTTAGGTATGGCTTTATAACTTGGTGAATGCAATGTTAAAGCATATAATCGACGGTAGTGTTGATGTCTGTGATAATTGTATGCCACGATTAGTCTATAAACATGAATTTAATATTTTCATGATTAGCGTAGGTTTATTTGATTCGTACCCATCGTAAATATAATAAAATATAATTATTTATTAAATTGTTAACCATATAGTGTATATATATATATATATTTTATCCAACATTGCAGTTGAAACAAATTCTATTCGTTTTAATTTTTTGTTTACCCCATGTGATCCAAATTTTAATATTTTTTTAATTTCCTCCGTTGCACTTCTCAAACAACGAACGCCAAAAAGGAGAAAAAAAGAAAAAGGGGAAAGAGAAACAGACCTCTCTCTCTCTCTCTCTTGTTGACGTATTCGGCATCGGCCTTCCAAGTTTTATGTTCCATGTTTCAAGTGTGGAACTGGATGGTCTATGGTTGTTGATCAATTTCCCATCCGATTTCGGTTTTGTTTCATGTATTTGTGGATTTGAATTCAAATTCAAATTCTAGAATAAAATATTCGGATTGACTGGAAATTGAGGAATGTCGGCGCAAAACCAAACCGATCTGTTCGATGCTTATTTTAGGAAAGCGGATTTGGACGGCGACGGCCAGATCAGCGGAGCCGAGGCTGTTGCCTTTTTTCAAGGCTCCAATTTGCCCAAACAAGTTCTCGCCCAGGTCATTTCCCTCTTCGTTTTTTCATTTCTCCTACCTATTGACAACTTTCCTTTCTTCTTTGGTGATTCCTGAGGCATAGATCAGATTTTCTCTATTTCCTTTCTTCGTTTCTATTTGATTAGCGTTGTTAGCTATTAATTATTGAAAATGTTGGAGTTCATCAGCTTTGGCTTTAATCGATCGGTTAACTTGCTCTGTGGAATCTTTTTCTTACAATTTGTTGCTTTCAGATGTTGGCAACTATCTGGCGATTGAGAGAAAGCATACCGTAAAATACATAATCGACATAGGGTTTACTCGAATATTAACAGCCTAATCTGATTTGAATTCGTAATTGTTCGTGAGTTTTTGCCTTTCTTTTTAACTGTCGAATCTTTTGAAATCTGAAAAAGAAGCAGGGTTTGGGTACCCCCTCCCCAACACCCCCAATTTTTTTTTTCTTGTATCTGCCTTTTCTAGGGAACTCGTAGTATTTGGAGAAATAGCTTAAGTTATGGTCAGTTGAGTTTTGTTTATGTTCTGTTCCCTGCAGGTGTGGATGTATGCTGACCAGAAGAAATTGGGTTATCTTGGTAGGCAAGAATTTTATAATGCCCTTAAACTTGTTACTGTGGCACAAAGTAAGCGAGATCTAACACCAGAGATGGTCAAAGCTGCACTGTATGGTCCTGCTTCAGCTAGGATTCCTGCTCCCCAAATAAACGTTGCTGCCACACCTACACCACACCCAAGGGTAGCAACTGTTACTTCACAGTCCAGTGGCAATTCATCTGTGCCATCCCACAATTCTGGTCTCAATGGGGCACCTGGTCCTGGCACTGTGGGTGTAAGCCAGCAGTACATCCAACCATTGCAAAATCAAGTTGTGAGGCCACCTCAAGCAATGCCTCCCAGGTCTTCATCACAAATACAACCAGCGCTTGCTGCACAAGGCGGGCTGAGGGGTGGTAACATGGTGGCTCCTCCTCGTCTTCCAACATCGAATTCCTTGACTAATTGGCAAAGTGGAAGCTCAAGTGGATTCACGACGGATTTCAGTAACCAAGTTCAAAACCGAAGTGTTAGTCCTTCTACAGGCCAAGGATTTGTACTTACACCTTCGGGGTTGACACCTTCTATGCAACCAAGACCACAAGCAACCCCTGTGCAGATATCCTCTTCTGCTCCACAACCAAAAGATTCATCCGTACCATCCAACGAGTTAGTAGCAGGGGATTCCAAGGCATCGGTGGTTTCAGGAAACATATTTGCTTCTGATTCTCTTTTTGGTGATGTTTTCTCTACGACTTCACCGCAATCAAAGCAAACTTCTTTGGCAACCACATCGTCTGCAACTGACTCCATTGTCTCAACTACCTCCGTTCCCGCTTCTGGGCCCTATCCTTCTGCAAAGTCAAGCCCAGCTGAGTCTTTGCAGGGTGCACTTTCTCAGAAGCCTCTGGGTGGTCAGTATCACCCAGGTCATCCAACAGGGAGACAATACCAGCAGGCTGCAGGTCCAAGCAGTGCTACATCTAGCTCAACTGGGTTTCCTGCTGGACCTGGGAATTTGTCTTCTGGTCAATCAATTCAGTCTCAGCCCCCATGGCCAAAGATGACTCAATCTGATATACAAAAGTACACAAAAGTATTTGTACAAGTTGACACTGATAGGGATGGAAAAATTACTGGTGATCAAGCTCGCAATCTGTTCTTAAGCTGGAGGCTTCCAAGAGGTAGGCTATGAGTGACTGTCAGCTTTGTTTTATCATTTAATAGTTCAACTGTGTTGGTTAAAATACCTTTTTCTTCTTTTTAAAATCTCATGGTGATAGTGCAATATATCATGCGGACTCTGCATGGATAAAGATAAAATTCTTTTTATTATTTTAACAAATCTCTTTAGCTAAAATCTCATGGTGATAGTGGCAGATCATTAAGATTATATTATCCTTTTAGGTTTCTTTTTTTGAACAGCTAGTCACAATCTTTTTAACTACCTATAAGTATCATCTTTTATGGCAGGTATTAATGGTAGAAATGAGCTAAAAACCTTGATGAAACCGAAACATGGTAAAAAGAAAATCATGATAGTGAGATCAATGGAAAGCAAGAGTTCATGTTGAAGTAATAGGGCCCAAGCCAATAGTAGGTCAGAAGTAGAGTTTGTGTGTAAATTTTTCCTTTGTTTCTTTTGAAATTTCAAAATAAAGAATAAAGAGAGATATTAAAAATTTCCTTGCTGCTATTCTTAAACTAATGGTAGGCAGGTAGGGGTTGTTGTAAAATAATGAATTTTGATAAATGAAATGATAATCTATCTTGTTTTTCTATAGTTATTAAGTGGCCAGACCACTGTATTCGGTAAGCATATATGCTACACCACTGTATTCAATAATGAATTCTATTATTGATCAATGAAATGTTATCTAGTTATTTATAGCTATTAATTTTAAACGGACTGACCACTTTATTCAATAAGTATGGTGTTACACTAGGTTATATGTAGTTTTAACTTTTAGGGGCTTTGTTCTCTCTTTCATTACCAATATTGTTAATGAACTTGTTTTCTTCTATTGTGTGTGTGTGTGTGTGTTCTTTTCCCTTCTGGTTTGGCTTGCCCCTCATTCTATAGATAAACTAATCTCTTTGGTTTACATCAACCAATTTGATTGTTAGAAGTGTTATTGATAAATCATTGAGAACATGAGTATTCAATGATTTTGGTGTCTGTGTGTGTTTCCTTCATACACTTTGGGTTACTTGGTTTGGAAACCATTTTAACAAAATATTTTCAATGAATATTTTGTTAAAAAGTTAATGTAGTTGAAACCAGATTGGTTCATTTCTTTTCTTAATTATTTTACTAAATCAACCTTTTTTTAAATTTTTTCTCCTTATCAGCAGTTGCAACTCTTTTTAGAATCCTACAGCTCTTGTAAATTCAGAAATAATTTATTAAGGTAGCTGTGCCACCTTTTGAAATGATGGTCATTCTGAAATTATTATTGGTGTTTCAGAGGTCTTAAAGCAGGTGTGGGATCTATCTGATCAAGATAATGACTGCATGCTTTCTCTGAGAGAGTTTTGCACTGCTCTTTATTTGATGGAACGCTATAGAGAAGGTCACCCTCTTCCTTCAGTGCTCCCAAGTAGTCTCCTATCTGATGAGACTCCATCCACCTCAGGTCATCCCCCAGTTTCACACAGAAATGTAGCTTGGGGGCCTGTTCATGGTATTGTTTTCTATTGTGTCATATTTATGCTTTATATTGCTTTTCCATGTTTTCTTCATGGATCATCACCTTTTACAAAAAAATCTTTTATAGGTTTTCAGCAACCACAAGCTATCACTGCTCCACGACCACCTTTACCTTCTACTAGGGGAAGACCACCAAGGCCAGTGTCATTTTCTCAGACTGATGCACTGACGCCACCTGCTCCACAAAAGTCCAAGGTTCCGATTCTGGAAAAGAACCTTGTAGATCAACTTAGCCAAGAGGAGCAAGATTCTCTTAACACAAAGTTCAAAGAGGCTACAGATGCAAATAAAAAGGCATTTCCTCTTTTCTCTGTGACTTGCTATGTACTAGTAGCCAATGTGG